TATAGATAATACTCTTTGGGTTACTTTTTTACAAACTAAGCTATCTTATATATTATCCATAGCTGAATTATTTTATACTATAGTTAACATTCAAGTTAATTTCTCAAAATCTATTCTGGTTACTAATAACTTTCCATCTTACTATACTCTTATTTCTTATAATAATCATCTACTTTTACTTTATTTTTGCAAACAACCCTTTAAATTTTTAGATTACTAGTTTATTTTAGATAACAAACAATCTAAACAAACAAAACTAACTATCTTTGAATCCTCTTAACTTATTTAAATTGCAAAAACAAAATATATAACTAACTCACATGCTCACTATATTATTGATATAGTCATCATTTCTATTATTAAATACTATTTATATAATATTATTATTAACTAACCTACTTGCAACAAAATTTTTATTTAACACATTGGTCTTGTTAAGCTCAAAGCCAAACTTTATTGCACAATACTGTTCAGTACTCTATTATATTCTCAAATCTACAACATTAAACATATCAGAGATATTTAACTACAACACCACATTTTTAATCTTTTTAAATGACTTAACAATTTTAACCTACTAGGCACATCTACTTGTATATAAATTTAACAACTCTAAAACAATTTTTGGTCTTCTACTAATATTTTTCTTTATTCTAAGCCAATTATTAATAAACTCAATTACTTAACTACAAACTTCAAAATAATATAACTTATTAAACATATAGACTGGACTTTTTCAACTAGTTCAATTTACAACATTTCATATACTTTAAATAATAGAACTATTTTTCTTGAATGTTTTCTTTCTTCTTATCTAAATTATCCTATTTTAAAAAAATAACTTAGATACTATAAACTTTTTTTTCTAGACCAACTCACTATTTATGACAACTTATATCTATTACACTGGCAATACATTTTACTCAGACTTAACAAAATTTCAAAAGGTATTATACTACAATAGTTTACTATTTTTGAGAACATTATTACAAGTCATTTTTACTAATATACTCTATATAACTAATATAACTTACCTTCTGTAAACTATTTCTGCTACTCTATTAGTCACTTTACCTCTAATACTAAATCTTGGCTACTTACTGTTCTTGATAATTAAATAATTATTGGCAAAATCAAAAGACATAATACACCTACTGGTTTTACATTTATTAATTACTAGCACTGCTTATTTCAGTCTTAGTTCTTTAATCTTTACCTTACTTCTTCCTTTACTATCACTTTATATACTAGAAATTATCTTAATAAAATACAATTGCTAACAAATATACTATCTTTATTTTTACTAACTTGGTTACTAAGCTACTTTGTCATATTAATCTTGACAAAACTCTTAACCTTTATGCAAACTTTCTTGATATTGTATATTTTGTTGCTCTTTAACATCTCTTATATATTCTATTTCCTTTTTTACTTACAATTAATCTACAATAACTATCTCTTATTTTTAAAACATGTTAACTTTTTAATAATCTTTAGATTATTATTAACTTAAATTACAATCTATTATTTATTTTATTTTATATTTATAGTTTTGTTATTGATCTTGGTACTTTGCAATATTCTATGAATATAAATTGAGTTCAAGTTAATAATTTTACAATTATTAACTCATTTTAAACACAAGTTAAACTATGGTCATGCTTTTTCAAAGCTGAAATTCTTGCTATTCTTTTAGTAATTATTACTGCTTCTAAATATTGATCTGTTTATATATTTATTGACTTACAATCAGTAATTTCCAAATATCATAATATTTGCCAATTAGTATTTACTCTTTCTTATATTCATATATTATATTTTTCTATTTGACAAACTCTTATTAACTTTATTAAGTCTTATAAAATTCAGCTTATTTTTCATAAAGTTACTGTACACCAAGATGACCTATTTAACAATCTTGCTAACCAACTTGTTTGCAATTACTAAATATTACTTTACATAATATTTTTAGCCAATAATTCTTATAAACTTAACTATACTTTTTTTATTAATGAATTTTTTATTAAAATTCTTATCTAACACTTTATCTAAACTATATATTAAGCCTACATTATAATATTTTGAACATTTTAGCATTATTTTCAACAATGGTCTATTATTGCATCTAATATTAACTAGAAAGCTACATGGCTTTATATTAACAACAATTCAAAAATTTTTAATTTTGTTCACAGCTTTTAATCATTTATTCTAAAAACTTTTTGAATTAAAATCCTTATAGATAAACTTTCTGTTCCTTATACTTTTTATAAATGTAATTCTTTTCTTCCCTTTTCTGTCATCAATACAACCATATCAACTCTTTATTTCATTAGATTATCTGTTTTTTAATCCAAACAATTTACCACTTGATCTTTAATTTTCTTAACAGTATTTTAAATACAATTACTTTTGATATGTTAATCGATTTTGTTTCTGATTTATATACTAAAATTCTTACACTCAACAGTTTTAAACTGCACACCTTTTTACATATATATTTTCTTATTTTTATCCTATCTGGTTTAGTTTCTATTAATCTTATTTTTACTATTTACAATGCTTTTATTTTTTATCATATTGCTACTATTCTTTTTATCAAACTTCTTCTTCACTTAAACTAACAAATATACAAATAAATATAAATCTCATACTATATTTCATATTTTGTATAGTTTAAAATTACACTTTTTACTAACTTAATTTATAATTATTTTTTTAGTTTATTTCTACTTTTTTTTTTTTTTAAATATTAAGGTAAATATATGTAACCCAGAATTTATTGATAATATATTTGGCTAATAGTTGCATTACAACTACAGGAAACAACTATGAAAAGAGTATACAACTAGCTACTTGTATAACTTTAATCATTGTCTAATTTAAGTAGTTCACCTGAAGGTTCTACACTAGCTGTTATATCCGGAACCTGCTTGTAGGTTCTTTATGTAATTACTCTAGTTTTTGTATTTACTTATCTACCTCTGCCTACCAACAACCTTGGCTAATGCTAGTGAAATATGCCATAACCACTAAGTCTTTAAAGCAGTTCTTTGAAACCTTTAATCTTGTACTAAATCTTTCAAAATCTTCTATATTCCATTCTTATAGCTGACCTGATATCACTATGACTGAGACTAATACTAGCAGTTAGGGCATACCATTAAACTGCTATGATCTTGTAGAGTTTATACCAACTCTGATACTGACTTTACAACATATTCTTACTATTTTAGTATTCAATTCAAGTTTTACCAAGCTGCTATTCCAGATAACCTAAAAAGATAAATCAAAACCATACATCTCTGGTTTACATATTTGCTAACATGTATTCTTTTCTTCTGAAACCTGGAAATTTTAATAGCCTGGTTGGTTTATCTGGTCCTTTCTCAAAGACTGGCATATTTGCTTAGTTTTACAAGTTTTAGTTCTGTTTCATAAGTCTAGTCTTTATAGTAATACTATCAAAAGTTTAGATTATCTCTCTACTTAAGTTTTCCAAATAGGCTTCTGTCTTCTTTCTTTTGGTTTTTATAATTTATATGGCTATGAGAACTTATTGTAGATTTGCACTGCCTGGTACTGGTTTGTATTTCTTTGTGTAACCATAAATATTGTTCCAAAGAACAATGTCATGTAACTGTTATACAAATAACATGTGACCTACCAGTCATATTAATATGATACAGATAACAGGTATCTTATCTTAACCAATTGCAAGAAACAGTTAACTATAACACAAAAAGAATTTTCAAAATTTTTGTTAATACTAGAATTTGAACCCTGAACTTGCCATTTAGAGGTTAACAATCTGACCACTTTATTAGGTTATTACACTCTTTTAGTTTATCTTTATCTTCTATTTTAATATTACAAATTATTACTAAAATTAATCTTTAAACTATCTAATAGATTAAATATTATATCTCTTTCTTTTATATTATTACTTAAATCCAAATCTAGATAAGTCTTGGCTATTCTTGTAAGTTTAGGTTACAGATTATATGTTTGAGTCTTTATTTTTCATATATAATTTAAAAACAAGTTTTTTTTTATAAAAACTTCAATTGAATTTTAATAAAGTTAAAAGCATAACCTCATTATTAATATTTTAAAAAAAAAAACCTTTAAATAAATAATGATTAAAGTTGTATGTATAATTAGTTGTATTCTTATAAACTATAAATGTACTTAATATATTACTAACTAATAAAAATTATTAGTTTAACTAAGCAATTAACCACTTATTTAATAATAAAAAAAAAATATACAAAAATTAAAATATAATTGTTATGTATAAATAAGACAAAATCTTAAAAAATCTACATATTTTTAAAGATATTAAATCTTCAATGATTACTTTAAACTAAAAAACAAAAGAGGTCTGAAACATAAGAATCTTCAACTAACATGTTATTGATTGGTCATGTGCTGTGACAAATGTCTATTACATGATCTGACAGATTTTCAAAATCCTGTCCATGGCAACAAAAGAAAACATTAATATTACACAATTGATTTTACACACAATGTGAAACACATAAAAAAATTATTTTACAATATTTGAACAATCTTAATCAGTCCACTTGTAGATGTTATAATTATAATCTAACACTATTTTTATTATAATAAAAATGATGTTGGATTATAATCATAACATCTACAAGCAGACTAATTAAGATTGTTTAAGTATTGTAAAATAATTTTTTTATGTGTTTTAGCATAGCAGACAATTTAAATTTGAAAATGATGACCAGTGGCTTAGCTCAACTTAAAAAAAAATTTTATATATCTTTAGACTATGCCATGTTCTCATTATTATTTGAAACTTGTTAATTAAACTAGTTTAAAAAAAGAAAAAAACTAAAAGAGTATAGAGTGATTTGTTTACTGTTAAAATTAATTAAAAATAATTATAGTATTTTACCTTATAGCTTAGAGGTCAATTTCTTAGAAAATGGAAGATACTACAAGCTAAGATTCTACTAAACATTGTGTAGTTGAAGTTTGTAAAAGGAGTTTAGTATCTGGATGGAGAAAGATAACTGATGATATACTTGGAAAAGCTGAAGCCAAAGGAACTTTGGCTTTATATTATGTAGATTGCAAAAACAAGTACATGTATCAAAGCTGTTATAATGGAATTGTAGTGAACAGAAGTGCTATTTTTAAAAATCATGCAGCAGAGTAAGAAAGAGAATTAAAGAAACCTAAAAAGAGTAACAATTTTTCTATATCTAAAAGCATTAAGTTGTTGACCAGTATAATTTTTCAGAAAGATGTTGTAAAAGGATATAGGTCTATTGTCGATTTTTCATAGTTTAGATTTATTGTTGAGAAAAAAGATGAATGATTAGTTCTATTCTTTGATGAAATTGAAGCAGCAGTCAATGTCGAAAGTAAGAGTAAAAACGAATAAAAAGAATTCAATCGATCTCTAGCATATCAATGTTATTTAATATGCTAAAATCAAAATAAGACTATACTACTTTGGGATTTAAAAGATGAAAAGTTGAAAGATAAAGAGTTTATATAGATGAATAGTGTAGTTGTACTGACAAGTTTGCTTTATGACAGAGAAAAGAAGCAAAATCTGTTACCAATTTACAGCTTTCAAGAATTACAAAAGGAAATAAAAAACAAGAATAATCAGCTAAATATTTTTTTTGATTCTATCTATAATGCTGCAAATCCATTTAAAAGAAACAAAAAGTATTTAGAAAAGCTAGACAAATGTCTAGCTTTTGAATGTTATCTTATATGTGGCAATCATAACTCAAAGTTAACTGCATTCAAAACAAAGATGTCAATATTTTTAAATTCTATGAAAACATCTCATGAAGCAATTGATGCATTTGTGAATGCTGAAATTATGATCACATCTTATCATATGGATCAAAAAAAAGCTGATTTTGCAAAATTGTATGATGATATAGTTGACAGTTATTTTAGTAAAAATATTGAAAAAATGATTATATTTAATATTGATGACTATCATAATATTTATGCAAAATGATACCAGATACTTGCACTACATCAGCAACATCTTATATGATGACTTTATTATTAAATTCTATTGAAGCTGATGCTATTCCAATTTATAGATCAAATAGTGTTTTAATTAACAATTCTTTACTAATAGATTCCAATCTTATTTCAAAATATCTAGATGAAAAATATATAAATTATATGGCATTTACTTCTAATAAGATTTTTTTTTGTAATATTTCATTTAATATAAGGTTGAAGGTATTGTCTTTACATTCATATGATAATCGAATTAAGGCTTAGGAAGAAGAGCATAAAATAAAGAGTTGTATATTGTTCGACTTCTATAAACAAGAGCTTAAGTCTGTAAGCTCATATATTAATGCTATGGAAAAGATAAATAGCATTAATATGTTAGAATCCTATTTAAATAATTATATTATGCCTGTAGTAGCAGATTAGCCTGAACAGATATATATAAGAAAAACAATTAGTCTTTGCTTATAGAATATGAATAATTTGATAATTCCAAATATGTTTATAATTTAAGAATAGGGGGCAGTATTTCAAAATTATATATAAACCTAATAGTAAATTTTTTTTATATTTAATTTTATGAAAAATTATATTAAGTAACCTAATTTT